TAAGAAACTGAAGTCTCCAGAAACTGTTCTGCCGACCATTTACCCAACTAAGTTCTCGGTCAATTTGAGTGCATCAAAATTATTTCTGGTGATATTTTTGATGACCAAGCCTTTTTACATCATTTTACTCAACATGAAATTATTAAACTGAAATATAATTATATTATTATTATTTTTTTTTTAACTTTGAAGACATGCTTATCTTTAACAATAAATTTTTCATTTGTTATTTGTTATTATCATAATTGTTTTGGTTTTTAACATAATTGAGATTTATGCTATATTTTATTTTAAGGTAGAGCAACCTGAACTTGGAACCACGTGTCGGTCGTTCTTCCTTTTCTCTGTTTTGTGCCAATTGGAGATTCCAAATGTAGGCAGGTCCTTCTTCACTTGGCCTTTCCAGGTCTTCCCCTTCCTCTGCTTCAACCGGCTGGTACTGCGTCGAATACTTTCAGAGCTGCAGTATTTTCGTCCACAAGCACGACATGACTTAACTAGCGCAACCGCTGTTTCTTCATTCGCTGAACTATGTCAATATCATCGTATAACTCATACAGATTATCGTTCTATAGAATGCGATAATCGCCGTTTCCAATGAACACACGAACCGTCCCCTCGAAAACTCCTAGGGCTGACCCATTAAACCCCTTGTAATAAACAATTACTGGACAAATTGAGAGACAACCTTTCATATACCCAACGAAATAGATTCATATTTCTATTATCAGATTTTTGTCAATTTATCCGCATTTCAAACAAACACGCAGTGTGTTGAACCTCTTTATTAACCATTTTTCCTATCATTCTAACTGCTTTACTTTTATTTTTCTAAGTGGTTTAAATATTTAACTAAAACCCATCATGGTCACTAATATATAGCCGTTACAACACCGCTTCAATGGCATCATTTCGGCATACTCGGTAAGATATACTATAGTACTACATAGGAATACAATCGTATATCGTATACACAAACACCATTAACACCTTGCCGACCATCAGTGAATTGCTTACTTTGCGTCAACCTATTGCAGACGAAGAGCTCTATTTGCCGCAAGAATTTAGGGAGATTTTTGCGTAACTTTATTCTAGATACTGTAACAGGTTGTACTTCTACTTTTCTAGAAATTACCCTGACATTTCAGATATATGTCCAACATGCAATGATTTCCGTACACCACCAACCACCTCTTTACATTCTCTATATGGTTTAACCATATCGACACAGCCCGTTTCAAGGGCGTACCGTTAGCTGATTTCGCTGACAATGAAATCAAACCTTACCACCCAACCACGCTATAACAAGAAACGTCGGCTATATACTAAACATGATCTTATGGAACCGAAAAGTGCTGCCAAGTAGATTGAAAGCAAGTGAGGAAAGTTCTCTGAGCGCCATTCATTTGCGAGTGACCAGAAACGATTTTTTTCATATGGCTCACGCAGTTCACAACTTTCGATCTTACACAATTATCCTCTTGGTAGACAAAGGACACCTGTTTGAAGGCGAGCTAAAGTGAGAAAGCGAACCATCCCTCCCCAGGATTGCGCGCTGGGTTTAAGAACGGACACGTAAAAAACGCCTCCAATGAAAAGAAAAAAAGGTTGAATACTTTACGCCGAACAAAAAATGTGCCGCATTATTTTTATATACTTCATACATATATACATATTAAATGTAGTAATTAGTTTCTGAACTGATTTTTCGATCACATTCCTAACACTCTTACTTATTTAGAAAATTACGTCATGCCAGCATGATATGGAAAAATAATAATAATAAAAAATTTTTTTTTCTGCTAAATTAAATATTAATGCCATCTATCGCGCTAATTCTAGCAGTTTTCGCTATCGCCACCTTTAAAATAACTTTGGCAGCAAAAAAGTAGAACATTGTCAACACATTACGGAACTTTAATACTTTAATTGAGTTCATTTCGAGCATTTCAACAATTGTCACACCCCGTCACTTAATACCAAATGAAATCAAATTGGTGACACTCAGCCCCCAAACGGACGCACCGTCATATGTACAAACATGTGTGGCATAATTACTCACGCAGGCAACGTAACGCGACACGGCCGAGCAGCGAAATAATCACCAACACACGCCTGGAGATAAGCCAGCTGTGAACGGACTAGGCCGATGTAGAGATAGAACAGCGGGCGGACAGCGAAAATATAAAGCTTTTCTATACATATGTAATTGTGTATGTATGTAAAAAGTGAGCTTAACAGCTTAGTGGTGTTCTAATAAGACAACTGCCGAGTGGAGCCGCAAAGCATCTTGTGGCGAATCAGTGAATCAACACGAGCGCTAATGCCAAACAGGAGTTTCGCATATGTCTGATGCTAATGTCTGCCTTTTATGAACATATTTAGCAGCTAGTACATACCTACAATCAGCGGCCAGCGCTGAGACGCCACTGTCATGCTGCTTCTTCCTTAGCTTGTTATTGTCATTGCTTTAGAAGTGCTGTGCTTGTTTGTTAAGGTGCTTTACCTGTGTACTATTCAATGCTTGCTTTTTCTGCTCTGCGCTTCTCCTTCTATTATTTTGTTCATATTTTCTTTTCTTTTTTGTTGCTGTTTAATAGCTGCTTATATAATAAAAATATCAAATTACGCCATCTGAAGACACAAGTATGTATGTATGCGCATACATCCATGTGAGTAACTACATGTAGCCAGCAGTGATTGCAACAATAACAACGTTGGTAAGAATGCTGTTTGTGGTTGGTGTTATCTGGTGAAGTCAAAATGCTGATGACCTTCACGCTTTTGCCAAAGAACATTTATTACGGCGGCGGAGTTGGTTTGTTCTCAAAAAAAATATAAAAAAAATTTTAAAAAAATTACAAAAATTTAAAGTAAAAGTTTATGAAGTTTAGTAGTATATTGTATGTATATGTAGTATATGTATATATAGTACATACATATGTATGTATGTAAGTATGACGGTAACAGGGCTATGCGTGCTTTATACAATTGTCATATTACATATCAAATAATCATATATGTACTTTGGATGAAACTAATGATAGAAATTATGCTTTACAAAAACAATCCGATTAAGTTTAGGCTTTTGGGGAGAAGTGTGTTCGCAAAATTTTTTTTTAGAAAAACGATTAAAAAAAATAAGAGAAAACGTCAATTTCGGTTGACCCGGGGCTATAATACCTCTCTCAAATAAAAAGTGTTCCATACAAGTACTTGATTCCGATCGTTCTGTTTATATGGTTTATATGAGCTATATGCTATATTGATTCGTTCTGAACAATTTCTTTGTTTTATTACCACTTATAAGGATTGCACCAAGTACCTTGGCAACGCGGAAGAAAGAGTGAAGAAAGCCAGCAAAAAGTGAACATAGAAAAAGATGGCTGGCGTAAAGATATGTTAGCTACACGCAACACTCTAAACATCTACTGTATACTGGGGGTAAAGAAAATCTAAAGATGATGGAACTAGCTACCTGGGTGCAAAACTGCAGAAGTCATGTGCAAAACGATACATCGGAAGTACACAAAATTCATATTGACACTCGTTAGAAGATACTGCAGGACCGTAGGCGGCACACGTCCGCAGAATGGGGTTGACAGTTCGGAAGACTGCACAAAATGCTTAGAGCAGGGCACCAGGGAAGCAGTGGATCATTTCTTCTCCTTCTTCTTTCTTCTGTTAAAAATCGCTTCAAGCGCAGGCATCTTAAATGATGACTACTTCTCTTGGATATAGGAACTGAACTACCTCTGGAGGACTAAAACTGGTGTATACGTGGCTAATTGGCCTACCAGAACATAATTATTAGGAATTGTTCCAGGTTGAGAACGTCTTGGAATCGACAAATTACGGTCCTCAACAACGCTAGCCTGAATAGCAGCAATATTTCCATTACTTCGAGCAGTTCTTATTCTTATTGGCACTTCAGTATTATGTGAAGAAAATGTATGCTCGAAATTTTCAACAATTTGAAGAATAGCGAGACGATTATTGCAGCCATAAAATGGGAAAAAATAATTATTTTGTTAATAAAATTTAATAATTTGTGAACTTTGTTCTTGCCCGGCATACTTTAGCCGATAAAGTCGGACAAAAGCAAAGGAGGTATTCCAGCGTCTCCTACGTATATATTCCTGCAGTTCCTGCATGTGTCAACGTTACTAATACCCAGCCGATCGTATATGATGCCAGTAAGTTGTGACTGTCACTAAGCTAATAACCGTGTTTCAGTTTTTTCGAGAGAATGACCTCAAAGTAAACACCAAAATCATTCGAACAGACTCGCGAGAGATGTAGAGCTGTCTTGTCTGACGATTTTCAAGCACCACTTACTTCACTCTTATAATAATAAAAAGTCTTACGGTTTTTTTTTTTTTTTTTTTTTTTTAACGGTGACTCATGTCCAGCTCTATCGCAATTTTCGACGACAGGCCTTCCGGAGCGTGGCGCATCTTCTACCGTATGAAATGAAATGAGCTTCCCAAAAAGGTATAGCATGACCCGATGCGACAAATAAAACTAGAACTACGCGCTCTGAGCGCCAACTAGCGAAAATACCGCAAGACTTTTTTGAACCTAATATTTTCATCAGCTAAAGAGGTCAAAGGTTGTCCAGAACACAGCATGCATTGAAGGCTTTGTATCTCTGCTAGGCTTGTGTTTTTGATAAGACTGAATCAATGATGGAAAATTATTGACTCGTGCTTAGTAGCGAATTCTGGGCACTTTTCGGCGTTCGCTCGCGTCAATTTGATAAGTTAACGTTTCCCAATAATGGTTTGACCAGGGTTTTAGAAACTCATAATACAGCACACCGTTTGGTCCCACCAAATACAGATTAGCGTCATGGATATTCAACTTCTTTTCGTGCTTGACGTCAAACGTATATAATCGATAATATATTTTTTGGGGAATCTCTGCAAGATATAGAACTTAGTAACTTTACTTGGCAGCACTCATTGATTTTTACTACTTGTCATTGAGTAGACGTCTGTTGGTTTTTGTTCTTCATTAAAAACGCGTTAATTTTAAATTGTTCAAGCAATAAGAACTAGTTAGCCCTGACTTTGTCTCCACTTTGCAGAAATTCTTTATTATAAGAATTAATTTTTAGTAATTTTTTTATTGTGTGCGCTTTTCAATGTTATTTTTTGTTGTGGCTCAAGTTAGTTGATTATTGCGTATGGTAATTAAATTCAAGTAATTAAAAATATGGAATGACAAGCACATAATAATGAATGAAGAAAGAAGAAGAAGCAGCAGTAGACACCAAGTAACACCATAAGATGTCAATAATCATATAATGGTGCAAATTTTTGATATTCCTCGCAGAAATAAACGAAAATTTAATAAAATTTAGAAGACACAAGTTAGAAAAAATCCAAATAAAAAAGCTAAGGAGGAACAACCGATAAGCTTGAAGGCAACATTCTAAGCACACACAAGAACAGGTGATTGGCATAGTGTTGCTCATGCAATTTTTTATGATCGCACAGTACAATTTCAGTTGCTTTTGTTTTTATTTTTTTTATTTTATTTTATTTTTTTTATTTTTTTTTTGTTGTACTTGTACTCAAACAATACAATCTAATACTGCTTTTTTGCTTTTAAAAATATCCGTTCTCAGCCACAGCCGGCATTTTTTTCGTTGTTTCGCACCTGCGCACACAACCGCCTTTACTTCAACAAAAAAACCATCGCTTGTTGTTCTTGTGCAGTTGAGACAAGTGCGTAGTGGGGATGCGGCTGATCTGCTGTCGTTTGTGCTGTGATTGCTTCACGTGTTGTTGTAATTGTTGGGTGATTACTTTCCGAGCAAAAGAAGGAAGTATGTAAGTACAACAAGAAGTTTTAATGTTAATTTTTTTTTTGGTGTGAGGTTTTTATATGTAAGTCTGAGCGCAGATGCCATTGATCTTTTATAATTTTAGGAAATTATAACTTGAAATTAAAAGGCATACAATTTGTCAGACAACCAATTAGTTGGGTGAGTCAGTATTCATTAAAAATAGAATTATTGAAAAAGAAATCAATGATGTAAGTTAAGGTTGTTGAAATAGGCGGGGGTTACTGATGAGATATTATTCCGGATTAAAAAAAACTTCTTGTTGTTTATAGGCCTTGATATCGCTTACACGGTTATAGCCGAGTTTCCAACAGCACATTACAAGTGTAGCCAGATCCTTCACCACCTTGTCTTTCCAACGAAATGGCCGTCCTCCTCTTCTTCTTTCCACGGCTACTGGAATGTTTTCATCAGAGCTGGAATGTTTTCATCCATTCGGACAGCATTACCTAGCCAGTGTAGACGCTGTCTCTTAATTCGCTGAATTATGTCAATGTCGTCGTATTCACCGTTGCTAATGCGCAAAGGATCATACATCTTTCGCAGAACCTTTCTGTAGAAAGCTCGTAACACGGACTCAACAGGACAGGGATAATGAGTGACTCATGTAATTTGGTATTCGTTTGTCGTGAGAGGACTTTACCTTTTCTATTCAGCTCTGCATGTCGAATTTGTTTCTCCACCAGTAGATTGAAGAAGTGCCACGATCACCCTGTCTGAAAACTCGTTTAGTATTGAACTGCTAGGAGAGGTCCTTCCCGATCTTGATGGTGGTTTAGTTATTGCTAAACGTCAAAGTGCAATTGCAACCGCCACCCAAGGAGGAGTCAAAGAAGGAGCAGACTCTCTATATATAATAACTATACACTGAGAGTGAGCTTCCTAGCAATTCTCAAGCAGGCGCACATGAAAATATAGTTAATTTCTCTAACTCTAATTAATCACATGACGTCATAACAGCTTGACTTGGTCCTCATTCAGAAACCATACGTTAATGGAGTGTATATTTGCTGAGGACACCGGTTTATAATTTATTGGAAAGAATCTTAGAGGTTCCCAACGGGGACGAACTATAGGGAAAGTGGTATTAGATGCTTAGGTATAGTGGGCAAGAAGCGAAGTGAAACCAATATTAAACGTAAATATGTATATTGCATAATTAGGAAAATCCGCGCGGCATGACTTTAAGCGGGCACCCTATGTACGGGTGTAACGTTTCATACACTTGTGAAAGAATTTATCATTTGCCAAAAAACGCTCGAAACTCGGGCTTATAGTTTAAAATACGTCATTAAGCCAATAAAAAATCGATTCTTTTAAAGGGCATACTACATCTCAAACTACCATAATATCCATAACGCAATTTCGTAGCTGTGTCTCTGGTTTCTCAATTTAAGTCGATGTACTCATCTATAAAAAGTGGCGACATTTCACTCCTAAAACGTCATTCTATGGAGGTAAATGGAGAAAATGTCAACTGAGTGATTATCTGTGAATGAATATTTTAAAAATTACCATCTTTCGACTATATTAAACTCACCTTCAACGAATAACGTAACTGGAACGGAAACAAGAATAATAGAGCCAAGCTTACGACTAGCAACATCGTTGTGCTTCAGACATTTGCTGCAACAGAAAAGCTCGATATAACGATACGTTCACATCGAAACGAAACGCAACCAAACGAAGCAAAGTTTTTGACTACACACAGCTTTTTACCCTTTGCCAAGCAACCGTTGCCATTTTTGTTAACGATGATGCATGGAACACAAAGATGGCGACAAACGACAGGTAGCAACTGTCAAAAATTAATATACACACATATATATATATACATAATATACATTTCCAAATCCCACTAATGTGTAAATTGTAAAATTATTCAAAACTCTGACGAACCTCACGTTATTTTACAAAGATCAGCATAAAATAGTTATGTTTTATCATTTGTAATAACAATTGAAAATTTAAAATAAATATATTTATCTATTTTCTTATTTTGTACATCAAAAATTTCGCTTTGAACAAAATATTAAAATTTCATTGAAGTGAATGGTCTTAGTATGGCAATATCGAAATTGTGTTCATACAAAATGGACAGCTGCGTTGTTATGTGTACATGCCGGCCATTGTTATATCGCTAGCGTCTTACAAATGTTTATCTAGCAGGCTTCACGACGCCATTTGCAGTTTACTGTCATGCAGTCACAGCACGACTTCAGCTGCAGTGTTGCCACTAATATGTGAAAGGAAAAATTATTCAACTCTCTAACAAGCTTAGCATTATTTTACTATCAGATAAAATAGCCCGAATATATCATTTACAATATCAATTAATAATTTAAAACAAAAAAATTGACTGATTTGCTTATATTTTGAAGAAAATGGCTGTTTCACTTTGAACAAAATATTTAAATTTTATTCAAGTGAAAGGTATTAGCGTGGCAACAACGAAACTGTGTACATCCACAATGAACAGCTGTGTGGTTAAAACTGAAATATCTGGACAGCACTGTAAATTATTTGAAATCCGTAAGTGTTTTTTGGATTTTTTAGGTTTATTTGTTAATTTAGGTTTCGTTAACAATTAAATGGTTATATTTCAGCCTTAACAATGGATGTGGATGACATGTTAATTTCTGAAGTGCGTAATCGACCATTTCTATACGATCTATCACATCCTGATTACAAAAGTTTAAAGAAAAAAGATTATGCATGGAGGCATATTGCTGTATGCCTAAAGTTGAGCGGTAAGCTAAACTCTAGATAAAGTAGATCATATTCTGATGTTCAATTTATTAATAGAAATGCAGTGCAAAAAAAGATGGAAGAGCCTCCGTGACTCCTATAAACGATGCAAAAGAATGAAGACTGATGGTAGTTCTGAAAGTACCAGGAAAAAATGGAGGTATTTAGAAGCGATGACCTTTTTGGATAACGTTAAAGATCATAAGCGGTAAGTAATAATGCATATGTGTGCTATACTTATTTCATAAGCTACTTTACAGTAGAATTCGAAGTTCAAGTGAAGAAATGGACCCTATAAGCGTAGATGAAGCACTGGATTTATTAGATGAGGATTCAACAAACTTGTCGTTCTCGGAACCAGAAAATTCTCCGACAAGATCTGCAGATGCACATGGGCAAAGGGCAAGCGCAAGTTCTCCATCCAGACCTTCTGATGCACGTGGGCAAAGGGCAAGCGAAAGTTCTCCGTGCAGACCTTCTGATGCGCGTGGGCAATTGGTATAAATTAGTTTTTTTTGTTTTTTGGTTTTATCTTGACAATTTTGCTAATTAATTAACAATCCAGAATTCGCAGAAAAAGGAAAGTGACAAGTTTAAACAGTTTTTGGATTTGGCAAGCGCAAGCATTTCGAACACTTGTGCGACATTCGTGGAAAAAGCACATAAACAGGACTCCACCGCACTTCACTTTTCCAGTTTAGCGGCGAAGATAACAGAAGCCGGTCTATCGCCAAAGGTAGTTAATCAAATAGAAGCCAAAGTATCGGCCATAGTGTTTGGAGAAATTGATAAATTTTATTCAGGTCATTTAAAATAGACGTACATAAATAATAGAAATATGATACAAATTAAATAATTTTGAAAATGTATAAGCACATAAAGTGCTTTATTTTAAGTTATATATATGCATTTGATTTGATTTGAAAATTATTTTTAAATTTTTATCTTTTTAATAGTGAATGTGAACCTGAAATGTATTTTTACTCGAACTACTAAACTTTTTAGTAATAAAGAAGACAAAAATAATATTATATGAAAATAATTATTATTATAAAGCATTATTTGATCTCCATTCTAAAATATGTTTGTAATTGAGCGATTAGCAGTTCTTGGTTGAAACGATTCAAGGGAATTTACTTCTCTCCAACAGAAGTGTATTTCTCGGTGGCCTACTGAATGGTCAGCAAGTTCGAGGATGAAAAAGTTCCTGACATTTTGCAACATTAAAAAGTTACCGTAGCTAAAACAATTTTGTCTCTGATCATTTGATACTATTAAATCTTGACAGGAACAAATTCAGGGAAATACTGCAGGCATAATCATTGTATCTAGTCGGTATGAAATCAAATTTGAAAATTTACCACTATTTAGTTATACTCGATCAAACCCATTTTAGAAAAAGATTATGTCTGAATTCCACACAGACACTTTTAAGACACTATTCGCGCGAAGTTGTATATGAATATATTGAAGGTATATGTACATATATTTACTTAAATACTTTTTTTCATTTTGTGTAAAATATTATTTTTTTATTTTAACAATTATTACTAAATACTCTACAAAGTCACAGATGCATAGATAATACAGATGTGTACATCTATTTGACATGTATTAAGTAACAGCGATACAAAAACAAACATTTTTGTTGTGTTAACTAAATAACGGCTTACAATGTCAAAAAGTCTTAATTGCAATCCTTGTTGAACAACTACAAAAGTAGCTAAGATTTAACAGAACTATAAACTTATTTTTTTTCCCTTTTACAAAATGCCAAGTGAAATAATAACCTTGCAGTTAGGACAATGCGGGAACCAAAGTAGGTTTAATAATAGTTTTGAACTAAACGATTTTAATTCAAGCAAATTAATATACAATTAAAATTATAGTCGGCTTTGAATTCTGGAAGCGCTTATGCTTAGAGCACGGTATTTCACCAAACGGTGTTCTGGAGGATTACGCCACCGATGGCTTAGATCGCAAGGATGTCTTCTTTTATCAGGTGGGCCATAGAAAAAAAATAATATGTATGTGCACATATTTATATTATTTAGTATCTTACCTTAGGCTGATGATAATCATTATATACCGCGCGCGGTTTTACTCGATCTGGAGCCACGAGTTATCAATACAATAATGACATCAACGCATGCCAAGGTAAGGGAGGTCTAGTTGTGACTTTTCTGTGTTAGTTCTTATTTTTCGCTACATTTCACATACATAGCTATACAATCCAGAGAATATATATTTATCGAAGCATGGTGGCGGGGCAGGTAACAATTGGGCTTCGGGTTTTAGTCAAGGCGAAAAATTACACGAAGAAGTTTTTGATATCATTGACCGCGAGGCAGATGGTAGTGATTCACTGGAAGGTTTTGTGCTCTGCCACTCAATAGCCGGCGGCACCGGTTCGGGTATGGGCTCATATATCATGGAACGATTGGCAGATCGTTTTCCCAAAAAATTACTACAAACCTACAGTGTATTTCCAAACCAAGATGAAATAAGCGATGTTGTGGTACAACCATATAACTCTTTGCTTACACTAAAACGTCTTACTGTGTGCGCAGATTGTGTGGTTGTTTTGGATAACACAGCATTGAATCGCATTGCTGCAGATCGCTTGCATATTGAAAATCCAACTTTCGCACAAATTAATAATCTAGTATCGACCATAATGTCGGTCAGTACAACTACTTTGCGTTATCCATCTTATATGAACAATAATCTAATTGGATTGACAGCACCATTGATACCTACGCCACAATTACATTTTCTAATGACTGGCTATACACCACTCACTACTGAAAACGATGTAAGTTTTAGAGATATATAATTATACATGTTTACATGCTGGGTTCTCCGTATATTTCAGCCAAATTTTAATGTACGCAAAACGACGGTGTTGGATGTAATGCGCCGTCTGTTACAGCCTAAAAATATGATGGTCTCTTCTGGACCCGACAAGACAAATCATCATTGCTACATCTCTATATTAAATATTATACAGGTATTAATTTTTCTATTATATATTATATTAGTGTGTTGCATTATAACTTCCAACTATCCTTATTCTTACCAGGGCGAAGTTGACCCAACACAAGTACACAAATCGCTGCAACGTATTCGCGAACGAAAACTGGCGCAATTCATACCGTGGGGTCCAGCTAGTATACAGGTTGCCTTATCCCGTAGCTCACCCTATGTGCAGAGCAATCACAAAGTTTCTGGTCTAATGATGGCTAATCATACGGGCATCACATCGCTATTTAATCGCGCTTTAGCGCAATATGATAAATTGCGTAAACGTGGAGCATTCTTAGATCAATTTCGCCGGGAGGATATGTTTAAAGATGATCTATCAGAACTTGATCACTCGAAACTAGTATTAGATTGCCTATCACAGGAGTACGAAGCAGCAACACGTCCAAATTATTTGCAATGGAGTCCAAGTAATGTACAACAAGGTTTCTGATTTTGTGCGCATTTACTATTTTCATATCGCAAAAAGTTAAGTTCAAAAATGAATAGCGTAGGAATTAATTTTTTCAATAAATTAAATATTTGAAACAAATTTAAATTAAATACTGTTATCCATGTTTTAAGATAAATATACTAACAGCCCTATTCTGATGCCCTCACAAAAATCACCATACTCTAGTGATGTTTCTCACTACAGTGAGGGTTACCTTATGCTGGCGATAATTCAAAAGCTCAAATGCTCTTTATTATCACAAATATCTATGACGTGTGAAAGCAGCCATCACAATACAAAAACATCTGTGCTTGTTTTGTTTTACATCAATATTTACATTTTTTAAAAAATATTTGAGTGTTATAACTAGCATGGAGGAACTGTTCTTTGTGTATGCGGCAATTGTTGAGGAGGAGGAAAATTTTGAAGTTTTTACGAGACAAAAGCGATCCTTGTAAAGTACTTATAGGTGAATTGGTGCCGCATGATGTGCAGAAGTCGAGTATATCTTTTGATCTGCGTTTCCTGGCGTGTTTGTATTTTTACGGGCATGGCTCTTACCAAAAATGCATTGGTAATAGTTATATGCTCTCTATGAGTCAGTCCCCAGTCAGTCAGTTGCCACATACACCAAGAACAGTTTCTCCATGCTAGTTATAACACTTAAATATTTTTTAAAAAATGTAAATATTGATGTAAAACAAAACAAACACAGATGGTTTTGTATTGTGATGGCTGCTTTCACACGTCACAGATATTTGTGATAATAGTGAGCTTTTGAATTTTCGCCAGCATACGGTAACCCTCACTGTAGTGAGAAACATCTTTAGAGTGAGTGTGGTGATTTTTGTGAGGGCATCAAAATAGGGCTGTAAGATTTAAATTACTAATGAGACATAGTTTTAAAATGCAACCCTAGCTCGATGTGATGTGTGGAAGCTATTCAGTAGTCAAGTTTGAAGTTTCGAATGTGGGTGTTGTTTTTCCTTGCATTATTGTTTCCGACACATATTTCTGATAAAAATAGTGAATCAGCGTCGGCATTGTTGAAAATATAACTAAATAAAATCAGTTTAAAACAATTTATTACTATCGTAATATAGAACACGAAAGTAAATATAATGGCCGCCACATTAAAGCCTTATTTAACCGCTGTGCGTCATTCATTGACCGCTGCTATGTGTTTACAAGATTTCCCTTCGCAAGTCGTGGAGCGTCACAATAAGCCCGAAGTTGAAGTTTGCTCCAGCAAGGAATTAGTTTTAACACCAGTTGTAATTTCACGGAACGAACGTGAGCGAGTGCTTATTGAGCCCTCTATCAATTCGGTGCGTGTTAGCATTGCCGTTAAACAAGCAGATGAAATCGAGAAAATCCTGTGCCATAAATTTACACGCTTTATGATGCGCCGTGCAGAGTCGTTCATAATTTTGCGCCGCAAACCAATCGATGGCTACGACATTAGTTTTCTCATCACCAATTTTCACACTGAGCAAATGTATAAGCACAAATTGGTGGATTTCGTTATCAGCTTTATGGAGGAAATTGATAAGGAAATCAGCGAGATGAAACTAGCTGTAAACGCGCGTGCACGTACCTGTGCTGAGGAGTTTCTAAAGCGTTTTTAAGTATATAGGAAAAATGTGAGACGTTTTTGCTTTTGTTTAAACTAAGGAAAATAATAGAAAATCACTTTGTATTCCAATAAACAGTATGTATTGTATGGAGACAAACGAGGTGCACGCTAAGCAGGCCAGCAAATAAAGTATTCAGCATTTTTATTACCAAAATTGCATTTGTTTACAATTCATGTAATCCGGTTTCAATTATGTATTTACATTACGATGCATTTTCATTAATTTAATTATAAATATTATAAATTATATACTTAAAACTATACGCTATAACAAAATTATATATATAGATAATCTTTCTATTTAAATGTTTACAAAATAGAAATGGATGCATTATTGAAAATTTGATAATAATTCCATTATGCTAAATCAGAATCATTATCATCAACATTATTCTTACCAATCCACCACAGCATCAGCGCATTTTCATAATCTATAGTTATATCTTCTTCATTTAAATCTGTATTTATACATTTTGTTGCAATTTCATCTTCTGTCATATCCACAAAGTGATGTTGCCCTGAAGTAGTCGCCAATATGGGTAAGGAGGGATGAAAGTTAGCACCATTGCAGCAATCTCCATGTAACGGTAGCTATAATTGCACAAGTTATTATGAAGTAAGAAATTATAATAAACACAAAATCTTACTTTTTCTTCCAAATTGTTCTCCAAGTCCCAAATACATAAAAATCCAGATGTGTCGCCACTCACTAGCCAACGCTCATCGTATGGACACACGTCGAAATAGATGCGTTGATTTGTTGCAACATTTCGTGTAAACTCTCTAACTGGACTGGAATAGTTGCGCATATCCCATTCTAATATATTATTGTCCTTACGTGCGCCACTGAATAGTGACCAATTATCACCGTTTGCTAATACTGCATAACGTAACCACGTTATGCCACCAGTATGTCCGCCAAGCGTAAATAGTGGGCCCAATTTGGGTGCACGCAAGTCGAAGTGATTTATATATCCATTCCAAGAGCCAGTCGTCACTGTCCTATCGTTATCTGTGGTGAGCGCAAAACATGAGATGGCTTGTTTTACTGAAATCGAGCTCGAGTCACGACCCGGTCTAGAAATTACATTTTTTATCAACCCATAAAATCATAACCACTTATTATTATTATATTTTACTTACACATTTGTATCAAATATTTTTATGGATTTCTTATAGCCGCCGTATACTTTCTCGCCATCGTTAGAAAATGTTACAGCAATTGCCGATTCCACTTCATCGACATTATCGTATCCGCGATAAGTACAACGTAGCTCACCGTTAAATGCATCCCACATATGTATGGGCTCATGTTGTCTTGACGCCAACCAACTAACAGAAATAGTACATTTAATAAAATTAATTGTAATAAAATTAAATTTCTGAAAATTTACCAACAAGTTTCCGGTGCGTTACTATTCATAAACGGATACCACGCATAATCGTAAACCGTACCACCTTCTTTTACATGTACGGCGGTTTCAAGTTTACTTAACTCACGGTTCGCTGACACGGTTTTAGTGGAAAAGGCTGTATAAAGATCCCTTGGCAGTTCAATAACATGCATGCCTGCAAGTAATAAAATTATTATTTTTTAAATATTTTTCTAAATGCATACCATTTTTATTATTTACCATCTAAATGCACCGGTGTTAGTATACAAGTACCATCTGGCGACCACAAACAACCTTTAGTGTAGTGTTGTTTTTCTGCTGAAGAACTCCACAAACGCCGGCCTAATTCCAACAATGCAGTCTGAAACAGTTTATTAACCTCAGGCGCATTTTTATTTTCAGTGAATTCTGACTCGTTATTTTGCGCTGTATCATTTAATGTATCACTTTCAATTATATTCTCTTCGATTACAACGGTATCAATGCAACTTTCATCCAAGGATATATCGGTGAACTTGGCCGATAAGTCGCGTGTATTTTCTTTAAAAATTATGGTATTTTTAACTTCCGGCGACACCTCCTCTGCTGACATGTCTATATCGCTGCAGCTTATGTTCTCATTCAGGCTAAAAGAAGCTATGTTATCAATTAACACTGTTGGCAAATAATGTGCATATTAGATTTTACGGCCAGTCATACATTTCGATGTATGAAATTGTGTTGTACTTACTTTTATCTGCTTTTTTTATAGCTCTAACTTCCATATTGTTGCAGAGTTTATTCAAGTTACTCGGCAGGAAAATTAATAAGTTTTATTTTATAAAATAAAGTGTCGAATATTATGTGAATACAAAAATACCGGCAAATTTACTTAATTTAGCCCGAATTAGAAACAGCTGACGAATTGCTATGTTTGGTAGAGTTGCATTTGAAAAATTATTTCACTTGCGCTTTGCCAACTATACGAAACTTCTAAGAGGAAGAACTTTTAAAATAGGACAACACAGATGATGTCTAAATTATACCCTAAAAGACAGTGGCAACCAATTCCCCAATGCGCAAGTAAATTTGAGTAATTCTTACTAATACATAAACATTTTTGTTTTTAAACGATAAATTGTAATAATATAATAATAATGTAATAATATTGTAAGTGGAGCGAGTTCAAGTTTCATTGATTTTTGAAGATATACAGCCTTATTTAGCATTACCTGACATTTTATACTGAGTGAACGAACCGCAGAAAGTAAACGTATTCCAGAAACAACGCTTTGCTTTCAGTGTTTCTCTCTAATAAAAAATGGTGCCATTTGCTTGGCAAAGCGTAAAAAGATATGAGTTGGTGAACGTTTCACTTGGCTTCGCGTCGAAAACTTTTTATCCGAACGTAGTCATACAAAAGCGTACATAAAAATTTGCTGTCAAAACACAAGTTTTACGCTCTGGACACACTTAACTGCACAACTACATAACCGTGCCCATAAGAACGCGTGTATTTTAATATTTGGCAAATGTCGCTTGCAGTCTGTCGCGCTCTATGTGTTCAGAGCGTTACTCAAAGCGAAGCAAAAGTTGTATGTGAATTGGTCATAAGGGAACATGATTTGAAGCTTCTGTTGCTTGCTGTCACTGAGCTTGACATTTGAAGAGGTATTTGTAGAGCGTGAGGTAAATGGTGTTTATTTGTTATTTATAATTGAAAATTAATTAAACTCTTTTTAAGCAGCAAAAAATCAAACGGGGACAAAAATTAGTATAACACGTATACACACATTAATAAATATATCAAAATGACATACTGAGGAAGCAAGTATTGGGTAAGTATGTTAAAGCAGTTAGTATTAGATGCTAATCCATTATAAATTATGTTTTAAATCTTGCAGCAGTTGTGGATAAAAAAATAAATGTAAATGCTAGCACAATATAATTAGAGTATTTGCGTTGCGTTGTTAGGATAGTGAATAATCCATATATGTTCATAGAGGTTTCGATTGTTGACAAATTAAAAATAATTGATTATTCTGAAGCTGTCTAGCCCAAATCAGATACTTCGTTTGGAATTCTGACTTTCTAGTGTTTAAAATATGTTTGATCAATAATTGAATAAACAAAGTTTGCAAATATACATATGTAGTATATGTGAATGCAGTGAAAGAAAGAAGTGTTTGTACCCATAATGTTAAAATCATTTGTTGTTTGTTTCTCATGAATTTCAATAATTTTTTTTTTGTTATTTACAATTTTTTCGTATTCAGTTACCATCCACAAAGCATTTTTATTGGTTGAAACCTTTGCAAAATTTATTTGTGAATCATAAATACAAAAAAACGACTGATTCTGATATTATGGATACAAATACTTCTGACAAATTGTTGCTTTTAGGCTATGGCCTTATATGATTGAAACTGAATCGAGCTTTATTTTCAAAATTATTGATACAAAAATAAGAAAAATGAATGAATTTTTCATTTTGGAATGTTACTGAACATGACACAAGTATATATAATATATAATAGGTTGTCAAAAAAGTCTTGCGGTATTTTCGCTAGTTGGCGCTGAGAGCGCATAGTTCGTCGCATCGGGTCACGCTATACCTTTTTGGAAAGCTCATTTCACTCGTTAACACGTGTTTGATTGATTGCCGTTTCTTTTAAGTCGTTATAAATTTGTGCAGTTTATGGACCGATACAGTTTCCATTTCCAGCGCACAGCGATGGTTTCAACGTTTTCGTTCTGAAGTAGAGGTGGTCGAAGATGCGCCACGCTCCGGAAGGCCTGTCGTCGCAAATTGCGATAATATCGCTGAATTGATCGAAAAGACCAGCATAGTAGCAGCCGTAGCATCGGTCAAGAGCTGGGCATGAGTTATCAAAAAATTTTTATGAACAATAAAAAATTACCGCAAGACTTTTTTGACAAGTTATTATGTATATATATTTTTTTTTGTAGACTGAACATAAGCTCATGTTAATAAATATATTCGCTCTCGTTGTTGTAACGTCGGAATTCTGCCGAGTTGAGAGTTTTTGGACGGGTTAAAATCCGGGTCCGTTCCGGTTACGTAGACCCGACTGTCGATATTCCTTCTTTATTAATGGTACTACTTTTAACATAAACATTGCAAACACAATTAAATTACACTTTTTAATTGCATTTGTATTCATATATTTTTCACAACTAATATTTATTTTCTACTGCTTTTTAGTTTACAACTTGGAATACCGGAAAAATATTAACATTCGAGCTTAGGGTGCTATTATTAAACTAATCATAATCTATTAATAATTGTCATTGTATGCATACATGTTAAACATGAGTAAAAAGTCGCCTTCCATCCGTTTGAATAAAAAGAAAACGGGTGAAAAACTTCGGAAACTTAACGATTCTTCTGAAGAATTTGAATATCTGTCAGATAGTACCGATAACGTAGATTTCAGTGTTTTGGACGAAATCCGTGTAAAGTATGAGGAACTCCAAGATGACAGTGATTCCGGAGTTCATTATCACATCGAATGCGCAGACTATGTAATGGAAGACAGTAATACGGAAATATCACAAAATAAACCAAATAAAAACTTAGAGCTTAAAGAGTGGGCAATTAGGAACAATGTACCCCTTAATACTTTGACGGACTTATTGGATACTTTACACAAAATAGGTGTAAATGGTATAGCCTCATCAGCGGGAACGCTCCTATGCACAAATAGAGATACGGAAGAAATAAGTAACATATCTTGTACACCGAAATGTTTAAGCCCTAGACAATCTGTAAAAGAGAAGGTTAGTTTAGACAGAAAAGTAGATAAAGCCAAAACCCAGTACGCTGAGGATGAAGAGTATTTGGACTTTTCAACTATTATTCCCCTAACATCGCCAGAGCAACTGTTGATCGTGGAAACGCAGTTAAAAGAGAAGGCCGCTTTTGATGCCATGGTAATTATTATTATTTTTCAAAAGTGTATATGCTTCTTTTTGTTTGTATTAATATTTATTTGTTTTCATAGAGGCGCCTACTGTTGAAGACAAAGTGTTTTAAAGGAAGTGTGGACGGTGTCCTTCGTTCGTTGTTTTCAGACCGTTTGATGGTGCACTACAATTTAGAGGGACGAAAGGGGAAATTGGCGCTTTTAAAACTAAAGTGCATTGATGTAATTTTTGGTGAGCTTTAACAAATTAAATATGTATACTAAATTTATTATAGCAACACACATATTTTTTTTTTTGCAGATCTTTTTCCAGAATACCCAAAGGAACAATTATTTTTAGCAATAAGACAATCTGTAGCGTCAAGTCATAATAGAAATAAGCAACAAAAACATAAATTAAAGAAGAAGTCTCTTTAAGTAAGGTGCATATGTATATATATACAGAGGTTGTGTTATAAATATTAAAGTTTTAATTAATATAATATTTTATATAATCAGTTTAAGTCGTTGTGGACTATGTGTTATTAATAATTATAAGATGTACATGAACCTTTTAGATTCTAAATAAATTAGTAATACATATGTATATGTTTACAAAAATATGGAAAAATTTTATTTAAAAGCAAGTAAGGGAGGGTTAATGTTTTATATTTACGCATTTTGAAATTTAACTTCGTTCTTATTTTATGGCAATTGGAATAATTCGTACGCCAATATATATTTGCGATACAAAACTTGCTAGGTGCTATTGAGGCGATGTGATCCCTATTTGGAAACATGAATCCATGGGGCTTTATCCTACGCCTACAGACTGCTGTGCAGTCGATTAGCAGGTGCTCTGGCGTTTCAGACTCCAAGTTGCAGAACGGACAATTCGTACAAGAAGCTAGTCCCATTTAAAATAACTGCTTCTTCTTGTGCTTATAATGACCAGGGTAGAAGACAACAAGTAGCCTCCCGTTCCCACGACAGTCGGGTCTACGTAACCGGAAGGGACCCGAATTTTTATTCGGCCAAGGACTGTCAATTCGGCAGAACTCTGTCACTACAACAACAACAACGACAAGTAGCCTGAGCTTGTCTTTTGGGAAGTTGACTAAGGTTGTAACCACCCATTAGAAACTTAGCATGGTGCATGCCTCGTCGTCAATGCTTCTTCTTATTAACTGCTTCATCATTGCGTATCAGCTTCTTTATGGTGTGGGGATCAACCGTAATTAAAAGTTCTGGTCCTACCATGTTGTTGGATACTGCGGAGCGGGCAAGCTCATCAGCTAGTTTATTTCCGGCTATACCTTTGTGACGAGGCACCCAAATAAAGTGCGATCTGAATTCCGATTATGACAGTTTTTAGCCGGGAGTAGATGAACCTTAAAGGAACCGATTTCTTAATTAAAACATTTATTCTGAGCAAAATTTGCTTCATTTCGCTTTAGTGGTTTGGAGATATGTACTTAAAACCTATTAAAGAGCTACCTCCTCGGTTAAAAATGGAAATTATAATAAACACGACGTATCATTGTAGGTTTAGAAGTATTGTTAATATCAAATAAAATAAATATTTTCTAAAAACTAAATACAAAATAAGGGTAGGCGCTCTTATCTCCTCATAATCAATTTCTTTTGAAGTATTTAGTTACTCCCGTTAATTACTCAGCTTTCTCTCCTTCTTTCTTTTCCACTTCGCCTTGAGGTTCATCTAACAGTATATCCCTACGACATTTTCGCAGAGCTTTACGCATAATTAGCTCTTGTAATTCTTGCTCTTTACGACGTTCCTCTTCTTCCAGTTGTCGCCTATATTCATTTGCTTCGTACTCAGCTTTGGATGAAATCTCATGTACCAAACTTAAGTTCTCCATTATACCTTTACGTACAAGGTAGGAAAAATTCATGGCAGCCGAATACTTAATTTCCATGCCACTGCGTGTGGAGAGCTCTTGCCAATGCATGTATAGCCAATGTTCATTCTTCAGCCAATCGATACATTGCCAGACTGGCACAAAATCATCACATTTGGCCAAGTAGAATTTTGCTACATCCTGTATTTCGGGCTTCTCGGTGAAAATATTAAACGTTTCTTTTAAGGATTTACGTATATCTTGAATGGAATTCCAAACATCTTCCAAATCAATATTGATTAGTGGATTGCCAACGGTTGCTTCTTCGAGTTTCAGAAAGTCCAAACAAGTTAGCCACAATTGACGGTATGGTGTAAAACCGGATATAATACTTTCGAGAAATTCTAATGAGAGATCTTCTAGGTCGAAAAGTTTCTGACGATACTGTAGTGTTTTGCCGAGTTTCTCCAATTCTTGGATTTGCTTCCAGGTTTTTTTGACCTACAATGAAAATGAAGTAAAATAAGCTATTTGATATTGAAATTAGTCTCCGCGAAAACTCTTGCTTTTTTCGTCTGAGTATGTTGGTCAGTTCGGGTAAACCAGTGGAGTCTAAGAAAATTCGAAAAGAATTCACAAAACATCACCGCTAAGTATAAACCTTTATTCGCTGGTAAAATCCGATTCTACGCACAGATTTAGAGAGAAGGCATTTAAAGTAAAGTCCTTAGTGAGAATAAGCTCCATCTATAAAGCTACTTCCACGGCGGAATCTGTGGCTGGAAACTGTAAAGCCGATGAGCTTGCATGACGTTACCCAAATCCCATCGGGATGGGATCGAGTCTTCTCCTACCATCGTGTGTTATGGCGGTTAATTTATGGGCATTGTGTGAGCTCAATAGTTGGTCAGTAACCAGCACTTGTGTGACTGCGAAAGCCTAAGCTAGGCTTCAGCAAGTTCATTTAAATGAAATATTTATTCAGAAGGAAGAGTAATAAATGGAAAATGGACGCCGAATCAATCAATATGGAAGGGTCAGAAGGGAGTGTTGGCCCCCTTTCCTTTCGGCTTACTGGCGTAGACATCGGTTACGCGGTTACAGGCGAGTTATCAACAGCGCGCCAGTCGTTTCTTCTTTTCTCTAACTGCCATTTCGAGAGACCAGATGTAGATAGGTCCTTTCTCCAATGGAGAAGAGATCTTTCTCTTCCTCTGCTTCCATTGGCGTGTTCTGAATCGAAAATCTTCTCTTCCATCCGGACAACATGACCTAGCCTAGTAGTCTCTTGATTCGCTGCACTATGTCAGTGTTGTCGTATATCTCGTCTGTCACTGTATTTGTCCCTTCAGCTTCACGTCATCAAAAAGTACGCCGACCAGACTTCGGACGCAACGAACTTCAGACACGTACTGGCCGCCATTCACAGTGTAGCCGTGAACACCTCCATCGGTTCCTTCTCTGTGAATCGCATACTCTAAGTCAACCTGAGTTGCAGACGAAAAGCTCAAGATGCCACAAGAATCTAAAGTGACCCTTGCGTAACTGCGTTCTAGATACTACAGCAGATTAAACTTCTACTTCTCCAGAAGTGACCGCAAAATACCCCTCTTCACATGCCTAACGAACCCCATTCATCTAATATCCTTCTCCCTATGGCTTAACTGCGTCAAATTAGGACGTTTCCTCGGCCCACTGCTAGATCGATACAACCAACACGAACCTTATCACCCAATAATAGTCCGCTGTCCCTCGTAAAAGAGTTTCAAATAGGATCTATGAGAATCCAAAAGCACTGCCATATCGTAAGAAAGTATTTTTCATTCCATTTAGGGAAAATCCAGATTTTGGGACCAAACTTTCGACCATTTTGAATAAGTTTTCTAGCAAGTAAATGGAATGCAAGTAACTGGTGCGCTTTTACTCACCTCCACCGCTGTCTCGGTCACCTTATTCGGATCGAATATTAACGAAAAGGCTTGTATCTCTTCGTTCAGCGACTCCAGACGTTCCTCAAAACTAATACACTCACTGGAATGTACGCGTCGAAACTCTTCGATATCATTCTTTTGCTCCTCACGCAAAGTACCCAAACGCTGCATAATTGTATGCGGCCAGGCGTAAACCTCCCATTTCATAGCGAATTGCGTATCACTAAGGTTATAGAAGAAACTGTCTAGCATTTCATATTCTAACCACATAATCTGTATATCCGCACGCAGCTGCTCGACGACATCCGGCACTGTGGCGGCAAAGTCGCGTATCTCATACAGATGTTCAATGCTTTGCGGACGATCGGAAATCTTCTGATATATGCCTAAGCATTGCTCCAAAATGGTCTCATTTATATCCCACATACGTTGTATATAGTATTCGAAGAGTTTGCGTACAATTTCCGTGTGTTTCTTAATCATCAGCTGTTTCATTAGATCCACATTAATCAGAAACGGGCCAATCGTAATAAACGCTGGTAAGATCTCACGTAATTCCTCTTTCTGACGTTTATGCTCCAATATATCATACTTCACCTCCGATGAAGAACGTTTTATCGACTCGTATTCGCGCATGTACTCATTGACATTTAGCAGATAGAAATCGATGAAGCGCTCATAAAGGCGTGCGTAGGAATTTAGCGGTAGAACGGCTTGATTGTAACAACGACCCAGTAGATCATTCCATTGTATGAATAAATCCTCAATAAGCTCAACCGTCTCTATATATAGATTGGGTGCAAATTTAAGATTCAACAAAGTCTCAGCTTCAATGCAACGCACACCGCTAGTCTTCTCCAATGCCTTCTTGAAGATATCTGTCAGCAGCGGTGCAAAGTCTTCCGGTGTGGTTGAGTAAACCACCTTCTTGGCCTCCGATATGCTGATGATTAGAAAGAATATGGGTTTCTCACATGGAAACTCCGTTTCAATGTAATTATTGTGCCACTTATAGTCCGATTGTAGTTTTAGGAATTGCAAGCATGGATCCGTTAAATATACGCTAAAAGTATCGATCGATTTCTCCAAAAGCACCTGCATAGATTCTTGCATGCGAAATTTCGTTTGCAATATAAAACGTGATATCTTACACATCTGATAGACGCTCCATTTATCGAGACTGATGTCCAGCCAACCTTTACCGAGTGCGCGCAGTACCAATGTTATGCCGGACGATATTTTTTGTGGCCAAAAATTCTTCAAATACGTCGCCACATTATTGCTATTCGACTGCTGTGACTGTAGGAAATCATTCAGCGCTACGGGCTTCACAAAACCGGTCAAAAATATCGATAATGTCTCAATATACTGACACTGCACGGCGACATTACACATGGCCTCGATGCCGGCGCCAATATAAAATATAGTCGAGCGCAATAAAAGGTAACGTAACTTTTTGATATTCACACGAAAGTTCTTACAGCTACGCGCTTCATTAATATTCGCCACCGATTTGAAGGCGCGTGGCAAGGAATTCGCAATGAGATTGTCATCAAAGGTGGGAAACTCTTTCGGCATGAGTTTGACGAATTTCTCGAATTCATAACATGCCATTAAGTGCTCGAACACAAGATAGACTTCGGTGCGCAGTTGATATTGAAATTTATCATCGGCTCTGCCGATTACTTTCTGTAGTAGATTATCGATGCGATCGTTGCGCATAAAGCGCTGATCTTCAATATCTTGCATCAGCACACAATCCACGATTGACTCCATTTTGATCACACGCTCGGCATTGCAACGATCATTTAGCGCTTTTTGAATGCGTTGCACAAACATTTTTGGACTGTCCGCAAGAAACATAATTTGTATACTTGGTATTTCATACAACATCTCATCATCCAAGTTCAGCGCAGTCCATTTAGATGTTTCCTTCTTGTAAGCGCTAACGGCGACATATTGCCACCTGTAGTCGAATAGGCTTTGCTTGTATGGCAGAAAAGCTTTTGCTGGCAGTGGATATATGCCATCCTCTACTTTGCCTAAACTCAACCACGCCTCCGGCGAGTTTGTGTCATAATCGGAATCATCGAAGAAACTCAAAGGTAAAAAGTGTTTAAATACATTATCGGAGAGGCTGTAGTACAGTATTTCGGTTGGCATTAGATCGGCATTGGTTATACCGGCCTCATCCAACATTTGCAATAAATCCAGTTTACTGTTTTGTCGTCGACGTCGATCAACTTCAACATCACGTGGCAGATGCTTTGCTGGCACCGTACGCGTCATTTGCACTTTGGGCAAGATAGTTTGTAGTGGAAATTTGTGTTGTCGCCCATTTTTGCCGTTCAACACAAGCCATTTCTGCGCGGTCTCGATGTGATAGTGACTGGACTCTAAGAATTCAGTTTGTATGATTACTTCTGGAAATTCGGTCGGTTGTTCGGCGCCTACGGTCGGGCATTGAAGTCGTTTTTCTTCCGTTATCATATCGTCTTCGATGCCGACATGCTTCAGTAAGTTCGTGGAATAGATGCGACGCATTTTCGAGGTTTTTTTTTATCTTTTCTTTTAAAGAAGAGCTTGTCGTTAAAATTGTAAAAAAGTATAATTTTTTCTTTGCAGTAAATGGTTTTGAAGTTTTTCCTTTCATAAAATCTCATGTGATCAAAATTTATATTTGAGTGTTGTATCATGTTCTTTCTTGAAATTCGTATATTGAAAATTATTGGGAAATTATTGAAGTAGCGTTAGTGAAAGAGTCTGTAAGTTTGAAAAAAGTAATAGGTGATTTCAAAAATCCTCAGAACGCAAATTTGAAGTTTTTCGATCGATTTTGACTATCCCCAAGCCGCGAAAGCTATCATAAGGACTATACGTTAACCGCATTCTTAACTGAAACTTACTGACGAAATTTCTTGGAGCCCATGAGAGGTCATATTCCTGGTTTATGCTTTTTGACAACCATCAAAAGCTGCAAAAACTTTCAAATAAAACAGCTTCTCAATTTGATAATGAATGCAGGGTTACAGAAGAGTTTTCTACTCCGATAGGTCTGGATTCTGGAAACCAGTTAGAAAATTTTATTGCACGGAAACAATGTGACTATGGTTGTAGTTCTGCTTTCATAGTCGTAAAACCTTCGATTTAAATATTAACATTTATGTTTCAATTACTTTAACCATTGTTTAATCATGGCTGTAGTCGTTTCTATCAACGCCATTAGCAATAGTCTTATTTATCAATACCATTCTTTATTTTACAGCATTAAATTTACTAATTACCTATTATCATTATCATTTTTCATTATCATTATTGGTCCTTACAGTACAAATTTTCAATATTGAATTAATTATACTTCTATTACTGTAATTATTATTCGGAGATATTGACATATACTGGAGTTGGGACTTCTTTCATTAGCTGGAACCCACATTCTCGTTATTTAACCGTCCGTGAATTGGAAATGTATCCACATTACAATTATCATTACTATTATAATAATCATTGTCATTATATATAGTTACAATTCCATTATCTTTTCCAATACCATCACCATTTCAATTACTATAATAAGTATAAACCTGCCAATTGTAAATGTAATTACAGCAATATCCGTACCAAAAATGACATTCCAGGTATTCAGGAGCGATTTTATTGGAAATATAACTAAATTACCATTATCATTATAATTTTCTATTACCATTACTTTTTTAATTCTAATTCCTCATACAAATCTCATATTCCAGGTAATTATCAGCGGCTTATTGCCAATATGGACCTCTTTTTCATCCAGAAAAAAAAAAAATTCAATCATATATGTACATTAATACTATATAAAATGGGTCGTTCACTAGGTAATTTTGTTGTTTTAGTCCAGCTTAAACACAATTTTTTTATTTTGTAAAACATTTTATGAATATCTATATTATCAATTTTGATCCAATAACTTTTGCTACCTTACGGGTACGAGACTAATTCGACGCTCAAAAACTTTTTGATCTTTACAGAATCTGATCCAAGTGATTTTTGAGGTCGTGATTTAGGTGAAGGTTTTCCCATTCAAAAAATGTTACAGAGACCGTTGAAAGCGTCAAGTCTAGAGAATTTGGTGGATGTAGCAGCGCATCCCATTCAAGTTGCAAAAGCTTAAAGCGAGTCATCAAACTTGTATGAAGTCTCGCATTGCCTTCGTAGAACACCATACCTTTTCTATTGATTAATTCTTGCTTCTTCTGTTTGAATGTACTTGTATTACTCAATTTGTCCAGCTGTTCGCAATACACTTCAGAATTAACCGTGGCGTTGTCGAGCAAAAGCTGAAATTAAACGATGCCTTTGAAATCCCACTAAACAAATAACATAACATTATTTTGGTGGCTGTCGGCTCTCGAAGTGTTTTGAGCTGGTTCATCCTTTTTAGACCATATATTCTTCTGAATAACCCCTTTTCGTCGCCAGTGACAATGTCATTCAAAAATATATTGTTTCTCTGATGTTTAATCAGCGAAGCACAGTCGATATTGTGACGAAGCAAACTTCATTCCGTAAGAACATGAGGAGTCCATATGCCAAGCTTCGAAAATAATTATAGACGTTTCAAGTGTTGTGGATGGGGGCGTTAGATAAATTTAATCTTTCGCTAATATCTACAGTTGTTATTCGGCAATTAGCATCGATCACTGACTTTATTTTATTCACATCTGCTTCAGGAGTCCTTCCAGGACCTGGTATATGTCCAAGAACGAAATTGCCGGAAAGTAATTTAGCAAACAAATTTTCTACCGAAATTCGGAGTCAGTGACCACAATCTTAAGAGCTGCAATTTATGCTCGTCATAATCGTCTTGCCAGATCAGCAATCGCACGTATAGGGGGAAAATTTGAATCCACAGGCACAGTACAAAATGTTCCCGTGTCAGTGAGATACAAGATCAAATTGACGCAAGAACATTGGGCTGTGCAACAACTTGAAAATTATCCGGATTTTCATCGAAAAATCATCTTCAGCTATGAGGTTTATTTCTGGTTGAATCCACACGTCCTCCATGAGTCACCATTGCATCTATGACGGCGTCATTGGGCCGGACTTCTTTTCGTAATGATCAAGACCGGCACGTTACTGGGAATGCGAATCGGTACCGCTCAATGATAATTGAGTATTTTCTCGAGCTCGAATTTAATGATATGAACTTGGACAATATGTGGTTCCAACAGACAATTGGTCAACTTCGTACGAATACCGAACCTGAAATTGCAGCAGTTTTGGCAGCTTTATAGTGTGAAGTTGACTGCGAAAAAATTAAATAAGGTCAGCTGTGGCTATCAAACGAGGATACTTCAGGAACGATCCAATATATTCATTTCTACGCGCTTTATTTGATTGAATTTTCAAATGCTAATTACATACTAATATCATATATAATATTATACTCGTATTACTACAGGCTAAATACTATTCTATATAGCAGTTAATTCATAAATATTTTAGTGTTTACGTATGAAGTTACAAAAATTAATTAATATAATAAACCATACAATAGCGGCATTAAAACTCGTAATACCGGAGTTATGCACGTCTTTAGAATAATCGAAGAACATGACGGATACCGTCAACGGCACCTCGATTACTTCATCCATTTCGAATTCCAAATCATTACGTTCGCCAAACAGCAATGTTGCACGCTTAACCAACGCCTGCTGCGCTACACCCGCTTCGGTAAATTCACCCACTATGAACTCGTAAGCAATATTTAATAACATATTGCGACAAGTGAAACTTTGTGTCTGCGCATTATATTCACCGCTTGTGGGCGCGAAATTTTGATTCTCTACCCGTAAAGGCGTCCATTTGTCGCTACGATTTTCTGGCCGTCCCAATTGAGAGATGTATAAATCAGGAAAGTTTTCACCCAATACGAAAAGATCAGCAGCGAATAACTGTGTTGTGATTTGGTTTTGTAGTTGTATACAAATTTCGGTGAAATTGCGTTCTTTTTGTGGCAATTTCGTGAGGCTTTCATTGTTAAAGTGCAGCTTGCATTGCTTCAACACACTTATGCCATAATTAATAAGATTTTCCGATGAAGCATCGTGGTGGCAATAACGCTGGTGTGTGGTGAATAAGGAAAGCGTGTTATTTGTTGGCGACTTAGTGGCATTCACATGGAAATAGTCTAAAACTTGATTAGTTTGTGTTAAAGCTGCGCTTTGATTGTTTGCTATAAAGCGTGCTATAATTATGGGTTTGCCTTGTGTATAGCCCAAAGCGCCGGAAGTGAGTTTGACAGCATTTTGTAGGCTAAAAGCAGTATCATTCAATTCCTTGCTAGCATTCGCAACCGTTATGTTTTTGTAAATATATTCCAACTCGTATGTTTGCCATAATTCTCTGCTGTTTAGCGTTGCATTTATAGCACTGAACTCTACCACGCCACCCAAGAGTTGTGTATAGTTATGTAAAAGTTGAAATTTTATCTTTACGGGGTAGAAGATCTTGAGACGTTGCTCAACAATTGTACTGTTATTTAGTGGCACTATTTGACATAATTCGCTTTCGCAAATCTTCAATTTGAGATCGCTCAGCATATTCATAATATAATCCGGTGCGTTGGCCTCGCTTATGGGTTTTAAGAGTAATTTGTTATTTTGTATAAAATTTAGTATGTTTCTGGCGCTCATTTGCAATTTTTCTAATGTGGCTAATAAACAGTCGATTTTGTATGTTTTTAAAAATTTGACAGATTCCATTATTTGACAGTGTGGCGGTTGAAAAGTATTTGGAAGATCTATGATGAGTTATTAAGATTATAGAATTAGTTTGTGGTATAATTTAGTAATTTAAATTTTAATTTTATGGTAATAATTTCACTCACCAAATTGTTTCAGTGTCATAGTTTTCATATTTAAAAATTGTAAGGGGTCTCCATATTTGTAATAGTTCATATTGCCTTCAGCGCTTTGTTCGCTAATAATATTCCAAATAGGTGTAGGCCATTTGTAGTAATGATTTGTATTCAAATCGATTTCGGGTAACTGAAATGGTCACAAATATTAAAAAATAATATATGTGAACTTATGAGTATCAATTTCAATATTTCAATTTTAATATCAAACACACACTAAATCATTTCAGCCGTAATTTCAATACCAATCTGATGTTAACCCAAATTTCGAACACAATCCCAAACTCAATGACAAACTCAATCTCAATCGCACTCTCAAACAAATCTCTTACTCTTAACTACAGTATCAATTTCAATCTCAATATCAATATCAATCTCAACCTTAATCTCAATCACAATTTCAATCAAAAATTCAATTTGAAACTCAATATCTATCTCACTCTCAAACAACACTCTCCTCTCACTCACTCTCAATTTCAATTTCAACCTCAATTCTAATCTCAACCTCAACCGCAACCAATATCAATATCAATATCAATATCAATATCAATATTAAAATCAATATCAATATCAATATTAAAATCAATATCAATATCAATATTAATATCAATATCAATATCAATATCAATATCAATATCAATTTCAATATCAATATCAATAGCAATATCAATATCAATCTCAATCAACTATATGCTGTACTCACTTTCTCTCGCTCCTTTCGCGTATTCGTCCGAAACACGCAAAGCCAACCATCGCTTACTTTACACGATGGTAATCCATGTTGATATTGAAAGTCCTCTAAACGATTTTTCAACTTTTTCTCCATTGGTGGAGCATCACAATTAAAGACATTTAAAGCTGCCTGCATACAATCCCTATCACAACAACAATTTATGTCGCATCCATCCAGCAAAAGATCACAGTTGCAATAATAGAAGCCCTGGCTTGAATGCGCATTAACTGAGCTGCCGTCAGCATTCGAAGCATTGGATGTATTCTCTGCTGTATTAGTGGCTGTTGTGCTCGCTACTGTAGGCGGTGTTGTTGTCGATGTTGTTGTAGTTTTAGGTGATTTGGTAGTCCTTAGTCGTGGTGGAAATATGGAAATTGTGAAGTTAGGCTTTATTGTGGTCGTTGTTGTTGTTGTCTTTAAGGTTGTTGTTTTAGTTTTTAAAGTTGTAGTTGTTGTAGGGCTAGTAATCTCAGTTTCTATTTCAGTAAAATCGGTTGTTGCAGTGCTTTCCATGAGATCAACTACCGTTGTGGGCTCTGTGGTACTTGGCGGCATTTGCGTGGTTGTTGTTGTTGTTGTAGTGGTGCTTGGTATGTCCAAATTTATTCTCGAAATACCAATTTTTACTGCAGCCACACTTTGTAGCAACAGCAAGAGCTGTGCGGCTGTAAGTATTTTCTTCATTTTGTTTTCAAAGAAGCCTTCTCTTCTTCTTCTTCTCACTTAAATTCCACACCAAACTTAGCGAAATTGCGGAAAACCAAATTAAGGTCGATGATAATTTTACCAGACGAACGTGTTTGTAGTTTATATCTGTAAAAAATATATATTTATCCGACTTCTTGTACTTAACGCTATAAACGTTATTTTACGCTTGGCGCTTAAATGTAGGCAACGCATTTTCGAATCAACCAACTCACTGTTATTATTAACTACTTTCGTTTAATTGCAAATAAATACACATTTACCAACCTCTCTACACCTGTATAGATTAGATCTGCTTTACTGAGTCCCACACCGCCACCGCCGAACTTCTCACGCACACTATCCCACCAAGTGAGCGGTGCCACTTTCCAAGTCAATAACTCTAACCGATGTACACCTGGTCGGCTGGGTATATGCAAAAAACCGTAACCAACTGGCCAACTTTTTTGCAACACATTCACCGCGTAAACTTCCACATGCAATTTGGGCCAACCCTGTATGGAAGCGGTGGCCAGATGTATATCCAAGGGATGTGCGAAATCGGAGGATTGCTCTAAGCGGTTCGAGCTGACTAGCGTCTGACCGGCTACTTCGCCTTGTACGAGTCTCCAGGCGCTACCTGTTTGGCATACGATACGAAGCAAGCGAATTTTTATATAAATATCTAAATTTAGTATAATTTTTGCTACCAACCGCTTTGTAAGCTCCACTTGCAGTAGAGGTGTGGTTCCGCGAAATCAACGGCTTTTAAAATCTGGCCGATGACATGCACCTCCGCCATGAAAAGGATTTACAAGCTACAAACTTTGCCAGTATTAGCATAGCATACTTGTTTTTATAACTTTGTATTGATTTAATAAGTTTTTATTAAGTTTCTTATTACTTCTCCTCAACGAAAACTTTTTATTTCAATAATCATTATTTTTGTATTACAAAAATATCTTAAACTAATGTTGCAGCACGTGCTTTTTATATACAAAATAATTGTAATACTGTTGTTATTATATTTTTCACAATTTTGATTTGTTTATCGTCACCGATCGTCTTGGTTACTTCTAAAGGTTGCCACATATGAAACACCTGACAAACTACCCTTAAATATGTCATATTTAAATCTTGTATGCACTCTGTGTGGTGTGTAAGCTAGAGGGGTTGTTTAGTTGTTTAGTTGACAATTTAATAGGCGCCTTCGATTCGCCATTTGTCTGTTTGCTACACTTGAGCGTTTGCTCTCCTGGCTAAAAAAAAGTACCCTGGAATTCTGATTCAAACGCAAACTATTATATTATTCATCAATATTTATTTTGTCACCTACAAAGTAATCAACACCATACACTTAAGTCAACAACTTTTCCAGTTCTCGAAGCACTTTTCATAAGTCCTTTTTGGGATAGCCTTCTTGCCTCAATACAACCAAACAGAACTCTTTATTGACCGGAATAAATTCATATTGTACCATACCACGAATATCGAAAAAACAGGGAGCATCATCTTTACTTTTGAGCAGATTTCGAGTGGTTTTTTTGGCTTTAGCTGGTTTTTATACTCTCGCAACAAAATTGCTAAAGAGAGTATTATAGTTTTGTTCACATAACGGTTGTTTGTAAGCCCTAAAACTAAAAGAGTCAGATATAGCTTTATATATACCAAAGTGATCAGGGTGACGAGTAGAGTTGAAATCCGGATGTCTGTCTGTCCGTCCGTCCGCGCAAGCTGTAACTTGAGTAAAAATTGAGATATCATGATGAAACTTAGTACACGTATTTCTTGGCTCCATAAGAAGGTTAAATTCGAAGATGGGAAAAATCGGCCCACTGCCACGCCCACAAAATGGCGGAAACCGAAAACCTATAAAGTGTCATAACTAAGCCATAAATAAAGATATTAAAATGAAATTTAGCACAAAGGATCGCATTAGGGGGGGGCATATTTGGACGTAATTTTTTTGGAAAAGTGGGAGTGGATACTCCCTACTAAGCTTTTTGTACATATCTCGGAAACTACTATAGCTATGTCAACGAAAGTGTATAGAGTCGTTTCTTTCAGGCATTTCTATATATAGTTCAAAAATGGAAGAAATCGGATAATAATCACGCCCACCTCCCATACAAAGGTTATGTAGAAAATCACTAAAAGTGCGTTAACCGACTAACAAAAAACGTCAGAAACACTAAATTTTACGGAAGAAATGGCAAAAAGAAGCTGCACCCAAGCTTTTTTTAAAAATTGAAAATGGGCGTGGCGACGCCCACTTATGGACCAAAAACCATATCTCAGGAAGTACTCGAAATTTCAATGAAATTCGGTATATAATATTTCTGAATACCTTGATGACATTTACCAAATATGGGTGAAATCGGTTCACAACCACGCCGTAAATCTCGATTATAACTTTATCATGCGAGAGTATAAAATGTTCGGTGACACCCGAACTTATCCCTTCCTTACTTGTTTTTATTCCATTCCGCTGACCGTTGACTTGTGAGCGTTTCAAACTCATAGACCTACATAATTATGTTTCATTGGCAGTTATAATGCTCGCATGAATTTGGGATCGGAGTTCGCAGCATCAAGCATGTACAAAAAGACCTGTAGTGTCAAATTGTCATATTATTTTCTTTTAGTATTGTTTGGCATTAAATGAAGGAAAGACTTATGCACACAATCTCGCTTCGATTCAGCCTTTGGAGCAAACCATAGCGCATGTCATTCGCCATTTACCAGTCGAAATACTAGAACGAATCATTGAAAATTGTACCCAAAGGATGGACATTTGGAAAAATTAGGGAACCACGAAATGAATCACCCTTTAAGTTTATATCGGCATTCGATAGAACGGACTGTAGGCAGATGTTTGCCAAGCTCACTGGTCTGGTGGTGGCGCAGGTCTGCAAAATCGGGCTGACAGATCAAAAAGCCGGCAGGTAATACCAATAGGTGCCAGCAAAACCCTGAATCCGGACTCTTGTGCTTGTCCCGCATTCGCAGAGCAATGCCTCAAGCATTTGGGTCCTGAGGTTCGTGGTAAGCGCTGGCACCCAATAGTTTGACTACACTTTTTGGAATCCCCAACCTCCGTCTATGCGTGGTTGATTAGGCCAAACTTAAGCTAAGTACGAAGTTAACTGACTTACTAACTGAAGTTTATTTGTTTTATTTTACTTAATTTTTATTTTATTTTATGTTCTTTATATTTTTCCTTCTTTAGCTATACTTTTATCGGTTTTTTTACTGTTTCATCGCTCTCTGTTATTTGTTTTTGTGTTTTAATTTTAATTTTCTTTTACTCCTCTATACTCACTCCGTTTTTTCTCTTTCTTACTTCAATTGTAGTTATAGAAAATTATTAGATAATTTGTTTCCCAGATTTTTGATATAGGAAACACTACGTCAAGCCTTGTTCTTGTTTTAATTTTCGAAAATTTAGTTTTACGTCACCTTGCACTAAATCACAGGAAATAGATTTTTTCATGTCATAAATACTTCAAAAACTTTATTTACTTTTCCTCAAAAGATTTTCAAAACCTAAAGAGAGTCAGAAAAAAATAATTCTAATAATTTTCAAAATCTAACGTTGAAAACTCAAAATTTATTGCAATACTGAAATACATATAACATCTATCCAACCGTTCTTAAACGGCGTTAAGAATAACGCTATAACAGCGAAATCTCACGGATTTGACATATCAAAGTCTATCGTAGATAAAAACAAGCTCAAATTAAGGTCCACATTCTATTTAATGCATGTTTTGTCCATGCGAATGCTTCAAAAGAACGCCAAAACAATTGCTGTTGGAAAAATAAGAGAAGTGAGAGGTAGTAGCGGTGATCCCCAACGGTTATGCCAACACCACCGCAAAAAACGTTTACGAAATGTTCGACGAGTAAAATCGTAGAAAACCAAACAATTGACGACATCGACAAGAATACGCAAAATAACAAGACCGATCAAAAAATAAATGTTAACCATGCGTTACGACAGCATGGTGGCGCTACTAAAGACGATGAACGTTCACAAGCCGACATTTCTGTGCATCGTGCTGGTTCAACGGCAACTTTAGCAACTGAAACAAAGTCGTATATAAACGGACGCCCGAAAACTATACTAGAAGATCATGGTATCGTACTTGGTAAAGTGATAGGTACGGGTAATTATGCAAAAGTAAAAATTGGGTTCTCTGAGGAGTATGGCAAACGTGTCGCCGTTAAAATTATATCGAAAGTCAAAGCGCCAGCGGAGTATACGACGAAATTTCTACCACGTGAAATTGAAGCCGTCAAAGGATTGCATCACGAGAACTTGATAACGTTCTATCAAAGTATCGAGACAAGTCATAGGTGAGTGACTTTTAAAAATCGCGTTAACCTTCAGAATTCTTTCAAACTAACTTTATTAGACTTCCCAGAAAGTGTTGCGAAGCTAGAGTTTTCTATTCCAAACGTTCACTAAGTAGTTTGGTGATTGTTACGCTATAGTTTAGTACCAACTTTTCAGACCCTATGAAATTGTACCTCACTTTTCCCCATACAAATTTGACAACTTATATTCTAGTGTAAAAGAGTCTCACTGAAGCTATAGCTGCACTGAAGTTTATAGCTGCACTGCTAGAACGAAGAATTGGGATAAAGATGCCGCGCATTTGATGCTATCTTGATAGTGAGGAGAGCCACTGCTTGACTAGCTACGAGCGCAAAATAAGCGAGGTCAAGGCAGTCATTACCAATCCGCTGTCGGAGTGAAAAAGGCTGTACATCGGAGCAATACGCCTGTACCAGTGTTATGGTATCCTAAAACTAAGATTGGCTGTAAGCTCCTAACAGGAATCTTTCCCATCAACTTTCACTCTGAGTTTCGACCCATCTGCGGGAAAGTTCATTGCCCTTCTTCTCCAATAACTTTGCCACGTCCGCATATCTTTTGTTAGTACTTGAGTAGAGAAAATGTACCAGGAGAGGACTCTGCGATGCAGTAGTCCAAGTTTTCTGAAATTTTCAGTACCTGAGTAGAGGAAAATTCAGCACAAGCAGATTCTGCGATGGATCCAAGTTTTCAGGGATGCAGTTGAAGAAAAATATAATTTCAGAACCTCAATGTTTGGACCTTTATCCTCTTTGAGTCTTTGCAGCTCTTGTATGCAACTGCCGGCCATGCCCAAGGGAATAGCTTTGAGTGCCACTGTTGGTTTCATCCGTAGTGCACCGTAGATGCTGATGAGACCCGTTTTTTTAAATTCAAGTTTACTGCCGACCATAACTTTTAAAAGTACATAAAACATGTTTGAATTAACTACGGCTTCGTAGAGCCAAAACACCATTTTCTGTGAGAGAGGTTATTGTCACATAGATGGTCTTGTTTTCAGTGGGTTCTTAGTAAATAAAGTGCACTAAAATTTTTATATCTTTCACCTAGATATTGTTGTCGCAATATAAAACCTTTAATTGGAATTACCAAATATAGGGATAGTCCAAAAAAAAAAATAATAATAATACGGAATGTTTTCGGTTACGTAGTCTCAGTTGCCTCGGGGAAGACTTTAAATCTTCCTAAAATCTTCTGTAGGTAGATTTGCTCTTCCTAAGCGAGAAATTTAATACTCTGGTCCGCTTCGTGAATCGTCTAAACATCTCTAATACTGCGATCTGAGTTGTAGACCGTTTCTTTATAGAGTCTACTTAATCATGCAACTGGCTGAGAATGGCACACTACTCGATTATGTACGCGAAAAGAAGTTTCTAGAAGAGCCACATAGTCGCAATCTGTTCCAACAATTAATCAGTGCCGTGGAATATATACATTCTAAAAACGTGGTGCATCGGTAAGCGACTAAGCAATTTTTTGACACATTTCGAAATCTCTCACTTTCTCACTCTCCTCAGTGACATAAAATGCGAAAATCTTCTACTAGATGAAACCTATACGTTGAAGTTAATCGATTTCGGTTTCGCACGTAAAGATACGCGTACCTCAGATCAGCAGGTGATACTCTCGAAAACTTTTTGTGGCAGCTATGCATATGCGAGTCCAGAAATCCTTAAAGGTAAACGCTTAAACGTCTTTCCGCACACATTTTCTGTTTGAAATTGAATTCAATCGAAGACTTCTTAACTCCAACAGGTATTGCCTACGATCCGTTCATGTCCGATGTTTGGGCATGTGGTGTTGTCTGTTATGCAATGGTTTTCGGCCGACTGCCCTACGATGGTTCCAATGTGCATATACTGCTTAAACGTATTAATGCAGCACTCGCTTTTCCTAAGAATCCGACCGTTTCTGCTGATTGTAAACAGTTAATTGGTCATATATTGGCGCCATTAAAAGTACGCTATGCTATACCACAGATTAAAGAAGATCCTTGGTTCAATAAAAACTAACGTGGGAATATACTTTCATAAAACTTATCGGAAATTAAATTAAAAATTCTAGTTTGGTGCGAAATGCTTTGGAGATTTTGTAAGGAAAGAATTAATTATAAAAGAAAATAAATGTCAAAAAAGATGGAACATTTTGAGAAATTTTGATGTATACCAACTGATTAAATTTGACCCGGGTTGACTAAAAAAAACAATATAATTTTAACATATTAGAATAGAAATATTTATTACAGCCTTCGAGATTCCAGAGACAATAAAACCATGACGACGTTTCCAATTTTCAATGCACTTATTATAAGTCACTGCTAAGGTGGTATTCAGTGCTTTGAGCAAATTTTAGTTTCTGTACTTTTTGGTAGCGGTATTCCGAAGTTCGTCGGAGAGTTTCGATGTCGTATTCATAATCTCACTTCTTGTCAGCAGTAATGATGCGTTTGTTGGATGTATCTACGTTGGACCAGTCCGGGTAAAATTTGATCCGATGGCATTTGGTGAAAATCGACACCAATTCTTTTGCCAGCAAGTCCATTGAGAAGTCCCCGGTCGGCCATAACAAAGCATATTTTTTGGCAAAATTGTTTTTTTTTATTCAACATAGTTCCCTTGAAGGGTGATACACTGACTAAAGCGACCATATAACTTTTTCATATAATTTTTGGAGCACGATTTGTCTTTTGCTTCAGAATAGGTAACAGTTTCGCTGATGACCTCTTTTTCATTCGCCGAAAATTTCTTCCTACTGAGCATACTTTTGAGATCTGAGAACGGGAAATAGTCGCTGATGGGCAGATAAGGAGAATAGGATGGATGTGGTAGCAATTGCAAGCCGAATTCATGGATTTTTTTCCATCGTTTTCAATGACTTGTGACACTATACATTGTCTTGGTAAAACAGTACTTCCGTTTTCTTCAAATGCAGTCGTTTTTTTTATCGATTTCGTCCTTGAAACGGTCCAACGGTGCAACATTGTGAAATAGTCGCTGTTGATGGTCCTTCCTTTTTCAAGGTAGTCAATAAAATTATTCCTTACGCATACCAAAATACAGGCGACATAACTTTGCTAGCCGACTATTTCGTTTTTCTACGCTTTGGATGAGCCCATCGTGCAGTCACTGCGGATGACCATTGGTTTTCGGAGTGAAACTTTGTAATTCATCCATTGCCACATATCTATGCAAAAAATGGTATAACTCTCACATGCAAGGGGTAGGGCCATCTAAAATCATATGGATTTAATTATAATAGCGCCATCTGTGTGTCAAGCCGGGGTCATTTTCAAATGACTTGTTAAGTTGGTCGATCTATTCTTTTTCTGATATTCCTTCGACAAATGTGTACCCTGAAAAAGTGCAGTTATTTTTATATACTTTGGAAATATTGTCTACCTACGATCGGCGATTTGAAATTTTCTAATTTACTTAGATTCTGTTTCCGATGGGACTTTAACCCAGAATAATAGAGTGAATATTGATTTTGATGGGAAAGCTCTCTTTATCGAGACCACACAGAAGTTTCAAGATAATTTGTACCAGCTTTTAACCTCGGTACTTTAAGAATTTACAAATTCGATGATTAATATACATACATAGAAAGAAAGACATCTTTGCTAATTAAAATTCAATATTTAAGTTTCAAATTGAGTAATTAGCATTTGCAAGCAAGTAAACTTTCGCCACACGCTACAAATACAACTATTACAAAGATTTATTCACTAGTTTACATTACAAACATTTCTCACCTTTGCAACTTCAGTGCCGTCCTGAAGCGCTTATGGGCCCAACAACTATAATGTAGGGCGCGCTATTTTAAGAAGCCTCGTACTAATTCAATTGTCCTACAAAATGAAAATTTTTCTTCAGATGCCAGTAATCAGATGGCAAAAATTAACCAATTTTATTGTTCTTCTTGATGTTAATTGTTCTTAGTGTACCGGTCTTATATTAGTTCAATATTTCTTCTAAATGCCAATGGTCAGATATTGGTCTAAAATGTGTCAGTCACTTACTTGTTCTATTGAAGTTTCATATGTAAATTGGTCTACGAGACGTCAATTATCAAATATTGGTCAGAAATAATTTAATTTCCTTCCAGCTTAATTATTCTTCGAGATGTTCATTGTTCTTATAAGTGCCAATTGTGTAAAATCGGTCAGAAATATTCTAGTTATTACTGGTTAAATTTTGTTTCGAGATTTGACAGCGAAGTCTGCTCTTAGACTGAGGGCACCTGTTATAAGGTGCATTCTATGAAATCCTATAGAATTGAAACTAAATTCGGTCTTCAATATTAACTTCCCTTCCAGAAAAGAATTGTAAAGGAATGAGGTGGACAGAATCACCACAATGACAGAAAGTCTTATTGTTCTGACAAGAAGTGTACTTGCATCAAGGAATGTATTTATTTATGGTCGCCAAGCCACATTGAAATCATTACACGACAAACCTGCAATGAGTTCCAGGACATAGTGATTCTCCTGGTAACTGCCAGAACAGTCAAGTTCCAACAATTAGACTCCGAAATAGAAGAAATATATATGCTTTTGGCTACTTGTAGGCATTTAATCGACGAACATGATTACAAATCTGGCTGACACCCGTTATTGACAATCACTGACTTGCTCAACTAGCAGGCAAATGCGGCATAAATAGAACAGAGGCCGCACTCGCCGCCTATTAAAACTTAAAGGACGTAATAGAATTGCTAACAGGTCACTGTCTAATTGGAAGACAACCTGGAAGGCTAGGTGTAGCATACAATGACTATTGTAAAAAGTGTCAGATATTTGAAACACTTTCTTTTTCTTCTTTAGTTTAGCGTGGACACCGCTTACGCGGTTATTGCCGAGTTGACAACAGCGTGTCAGTCATTCTAACTTGCACTTTTTCACAACAGTTGGAGATTTCAAGTGTAGCCATTTCCTTTTCCATCTGTTCTTTCCAACCGAGTGAAGGTCTTCCTCTTCCTCTGCTTTTCCGTAGCCGCTGTCTCTTAATTCGCTGAGCTATATCAATGTCGTCATATATCTCGTGCAGCTGATCGTTCCATCGGTTGCGTTATTTGCCACTGCCAATGTGCAAAGGACCATAAACCTACCGCAGAACCTTAAACTCGAAAAGTCGTAACACCGACGCAGGTGTGGTCATCTTACATACCTCTGCACCAAACAGCAGGACCGGGATGATGATTGACTTGTAGAGTTGTTCGTTGAGAGAGGACTTTACTATTCAATGGCCTACTCAGTGCGAAATAGCACAAGGTAGCAAGAGCTATTCTACGTTGGATTTTGATCTGACGTTGTTGTAGGTGTTAATGCTCGTTCCAAGAGAGACGAAATTATCTACGGCTTCTAAGTTATGACTGCCAACAGTTACGAGGAAGCCAAGTCGCAAGTGCTTTATGCTGTTTGTTTGATAACAGGAGTTATTTCATCACTACCAGACCCATTTGGCAATGCATAACAAAACTAATGGTGTGAATATTAAGGTCAATGATATCAATATCATCGACGTACGTCAGCAGCTGTACACTCTTGTAGAAGATGGTACCTTCTCTATTCAGCTCTGCAGCTCGAACTATTTTCTTCAGTAGTTAATTGAAGAAGTCGTACGTTAGAGGTCGTCTTGTCTGAAAGCACATTTGGTATCGAACGGTTTGGAGGGGTCCTTCCCAATCCTGACGGTTTTTGGTATAGCTCAACGTCAGTTTACAATGCCATCTCTCATCCGAATCTGTTTTTTTCTTCTTCTTTTAATTGGGGGTGTTTTTTACGTGGCGGCTTCCAAACCCAGCGCATAACCCTGGAAAGTGAAGTTTCGCCTTCTCACTTTTGCTCGCCTTCAAACGGATGTTTTTTGACAATCGGAAGTTGTGAGCTGCTTCAGTCATATGTAGAAGAATCGTTTTTGTCCACTTCTAAGTGAATGGCGTTCAGAGAGCTTTCCTCACAACAAATGGCTCCATTATTCTTTGAATCATTTTACCGAAAGAAAATAGTAAACTTTTGATTCACTCGAAAAAGCTTCAAAATTCTGTGCGCCCTTTATTGGGCCTGCAAAACCTGCCCTGTCGCTTAATTTCACTGTTAAGGCTAAGACGTCGCTTATTATTGTATTATGTGTATGTACTATATGTGTTTATCTGAAGTCGGTGCATAAATTGCTGTTCAACCGAGTGTGTGTTCGCATGCGACTATTTATTTAATAATTTTCCAAATGATTAATTTGGAATATATAATTTGCAAAAACAATAACAAACTCATAAACAAATCACATACAATTGCTTTACTTCACACACATATTTACACACGCTATCAAGACAATTTGATATGTAAATGTTGCAAACTTAAATATGATAATCGTTCTCACGCTTTAATGTTCATAATTTTTAAGTAACTAATATTTATTAGTGAATACAGTAGTGCTTATTGACCAGTGTGTTGTCACCTGTATACTTCAGTACCTATAAATATGTAAATCATACATAATTATACGAGTATATACTTAAATGTTCGTTGACATTTTCTACAGTGGAATGGTCTCCACTAATAACAAATAAAAGCGCCATTACATACATATATGTACACATATTTTTCCTCAAAATGGATCTAACTAGTATTTAGCCAGCAAACGGTAGATAAACAGTAGTGCCTAAATATAAACACCAACACCAAATTAGCGACAATTGACATCTACAACGTGTTCAACTCCCATAATGTCGTATGCAAATTTTAATGCAAACACCTTGATATTTCACAATCCATATGCATATATATACCTACATTCGCAGAACATATACTTAAACTCATACTATAGTATGTGTGCAGGTGTGCAAGGCAATGACATTTGTCCACTTGGCAATGTCGACTACTTGATTGCTCTGTTGAAGGCGTTGCCTCTAGTGTTTGCGCTGAGAATGAAGATGCACTTTGGTCTAATCTGAAATTATTGTATTTACATTTAGTAGGCACATCATGTACATCATCTATATATGCATTTGTGTAGAAAGACATATGTACTATTATATATACATGCGTGTGTGTGTGGTAGTAATTTCTGTAAAGTACATAATTTTCTTAAAGCTTAATCGAATTGATTATTTTGTAAGGGAGCTACGACCAATGATTGGAAAT